GGACAACATCTGGCTGATGCCTTGGCCTATCACATTTGGTGGCCTTACCAAGGCTGCAGTGATGCTCTGGTTAGCGGGGACTTTTACAAACCGGGTGCTGGTGACTCATGCCTATAATCCTAGCTACTCAGGAGGCTGAGATCTAAGGATCATGGTTCAAAGCCAGCCTGGGCAGGAAAGTCCGTGAGACTCTTACTTCTAATTAACCATCAGAAAACGAGAAGTGGCGCTGTGGCTCAAGTGGTAGAGTGCTAGTCTTGAGCTGAGAGATGAGGGACAGCGTCCAGGCCCCGGCGTTCAAGCCCCATGACCGGCCAAAAAAAAATGCTGACTTTTACATCATTCTACCCTTACAGGTTACCTTTTAAACTCTAGTCCTCCACCTTTTTAACTGTGGGGAATACTTTGCCATCCCCTATTCCTTACACAACAATCTTTCTTATTGTCCTCTTCACCATTGGGCTAATCTCATCAACTCCTACACTCTGGTCCTTTGTAGAACAGGTCATTCATTCTCACCCTTCTTTTGAATACCTTTCAAGCAACTTTGCTGCTTCTTCGGTGTCACCCCACTCTTACCCTCCCCTAAACCTTGCCACCATGACTCCCCTCCTATCTCTTCTATTCCTCAGCTCTTGCATTCTGATGACAACTCATCACCAACAAAAGCTGGTGTCGTTACCTTGGCTACATGATCTACCATCCTCAATCAAACTATGTGTTCTCCTAGGGGACCCTGCTCACTCCCCATCCAACTGTTTATCCTCCTCTAGCCCAAAGCTATCTATCCCTTACTCCCAATTGTGTTGTGGATTCTCAGCCACAGATGAGACAACCCAATGTAACAGATACTACTCAAGATACCAACATATCATGGCATATGGACACATACCCTGAAATTGGGAGGACTGAAGAGGCCTTTCCTGGGTGTTCCTCCAATACTGGTCCTGCGTAGACTTGCTTCTTGAGGAGGGTGCTCAGGTTTCTCAACATCAGGACAGGGAATCTCTTCCCTAGAAGGCTAGTTGGGGGAACCTAACTATCTCCTAGAACCTAACTATCTCCTCCCCAGCAACATGGTGAAAACAGGATTTTGGTATCAGATGGTGATACTATTGCTCACCCCTCTCCCCCACCAGGTATTACAATTAGACACTGCCTCCACCGATATCTCAATCCCTATTAGCAAGGTCAACTCTTTAAACCCTGGAACAGGCTGGGATGTAGCTCAGTGGCAAAGAGCTTGCCTAGCAAGTGCAACATCCTGGGTTCGACCAAAAAAGAAAAGACAAAAAAAATACAATTAAAAAAAAAAAACCAAACAGGAGCTGGGAAGGTGGCTCAGTGGTAGAGCACTTGCCTTACATGCCTGAGGCCCTGGGTTCAATTCCTCAGCACCACATAAGCAAAAAGATAAAAGCCGGAAGTGGTGTTGTGGCTCAAGTGGTAGAGCGCTAGCCTTGAGCTGAAGAGCTGAGGATCAGTGCCCAGGCCCAGAGTTCAGGCCCCAGGACCGGACCCCCCCCCAAAAAAAAGCCCCAAACAAACAAAAAACCAACCCTAAAAAAAGGGGGGGGTCTGGGAAGGTGGCTCAGTGGTAGAGTGCTTGCCTTGCATGCATGAAGTCCTGGGTTCGATTCCTCAGCACCACATAAGCAGAAAAAGCTGGAAGTGGTACTGTGGCTCAAGTGGTAGAGCACTAGCCTTGAGCTGAAGGGCTGAGGGACAGTGCCCAGGCCCAGAGTTCAGGCCCCACACTGGCCAAAAAAAAACCCCCTGGAACCCGCAACCAAGGCTTCCTGACCCGGGCCCCCAACACCTCACTGTATACCCCGACCTTCCACTATTTCAGTTATTAGCTCTCTCAAACTCCAGCCATGATCTCTTAAAACAGGCCAACCAGACCTGGCCAAGGACTCTTGGATATGGCTGAGTACAAGCTAGCTGTCCTATGTCAGGCTGGGACTCTCCCACCTAACATTACTTAACATTGCCACAAATGACTCATGCAACTCGGGACCCCCGGTGTAAATAATGGGGGAACCCCAATGTGTGGGCATCTAACCCAACTGTACTACCCTTCCTCCTGGAGTTTTGGCTCCTAATGGAACCTACTTCACCTGCCCCATTGAGGTCCATATCTGTTATCCAGGGAACCACTGTAAGATGGTGCTCTTAACTCCTAACTTGGATGTCTTTTCTGCTATTAAGTTAACAATTACCTCACACATCACTCAAGAAAAAAAAAGAAACCTGGTTCTGCTGCCTGTACTCCTGGGCAAGGCCCTTCTTGACACCACATCCCTGGGAAACACAGCCATAACCTTACAACAAATCTAACACAGCCAGTTATCTACACAAATAAAAGAGGACCTCTCCTTAGTTCAACAAAACCTTAATGTCCTCCAAAAACAATTGGACTCCCTGGCTCAGATGGTTCTCCATAGTCGGGGGCGGGAGAGGGGAGGGGGACTCCACTTAATAACAGCTGAAAAAGGGAGACTCTGCCCCTTTCTGCGAAAGGGCTGCTTTTCTGCTAACCTATCAGGTATAAGACAAACAACAAGTAACTGTAGAGAACATACAAACCAAATATGGATCACACTGACCCTCTTCTTCCTCTCCATGGAAAGATAATGGGATGTCTAGGAGACTCCTTTTCTGGGTCCAGTTATCATAATTCTGCTCCGTAGGACCCTGTCTCATGAAATATCTTTCTGATCTGTGGATCATGGTTCAATTCCAGCCCATTCCCATGGGAAGGTTGCTGCCCCTCACTGTGTCTCAGTAAACAGTCCTTTCCTGTTGAGATCCAGTCCAGCCTGTCCTTTCTTCAATTTCTTTACAAGAATAAGGCTTTGTATGCAGGGAATCATGTATAATACGTGATAGTAAATTATATTTCTTTCTCTTGGAATTTTTTGTTGTTTCTGATTGTTGTTTCTTTTTTGTGGAATATGGGTGTAATAAAAATTCCTATCATTGAACATTTATCCTGGACTTATATGCTGTCTGATTTGTTTTTGCCAGTAGGAACCTTTTTTTTGGTCAGTTGTGGGGCTTGAACTTGGCCTGGGTGCTGTCCCTCAGCTCTTTGGCATTCTACTACTTGAACCACAGTGCCACTTCCAGGTTTCCTGGTGGTTAATGGGAGATAAGAGTCTCATAGACTTTCCTGCCCGGGCTGGCTTTGAACCATGATTCTCAGATCTCAGCCTCCTGACTAGCTAGGATTACAGGCGTGAGCTATTGGCACTCAGCTTGAATTTAGGACCTGGACATTGTTCCTTAGCTTTTTCTTTTAAGGCTGGAGCTCAACCAATTGAGCCACAACTCTATTTCTGGCTTTTTGGTGGTTAATTGGAGATAAGAATCTCAGAGGGCTGGGAAGGTGGCTCAGTGGTAGAGCATTTGCCTTGCATGCATGAGGCCCTGGGTTCGATTCCTCAGCACTACATAAAACAAAAAAGAAAAAAGCCAGAAGTGGCTCTGTGGCTCAAGTGGTAGAGCGCTAGCCTTGAACTGAAGAGCTGAGGGACAGCGCCCAGGCCCAGACCGGAACCCAAGAAAAAAAAAAAAGAATCTCACAGACTTTCCTGCCTGAGATGTTTTCGAACTGAGACCTCTCTCCCCTTTTATGTCTTTTTTATTTTTGAAGTAAGGTTCTTCCCCCACACCCCACATTATAGATGTGAACCGTGGGTATTACAAACCATTCAGCATATCGGATGTACATATTTTTAATGAAAAGTAGCCTTGTTTTCTGAAAATACGAGATAGCTTTGTGCTTGGGGCAACCTGGCATATGATCCTCTTATACTTTGTGTCGCTGGGGAGGACAGGCATCACTAGGGATAACAGACATGTATTCCTGGGCTGGGCCTATTGTGTTTTCCAGGCTAGTCTCAAACTCTTGGTCATTCTACTGGAATTACAGGCAAGGTGCTTGCTACATAGCCCTATGCCTATCTTGATGGAGGTACAGTGATAATCTCGGCCATCAAACATCCCAGTTCTTCACTCACAGCAGATCCCTAACTGAAAAAGTGGAATAGCCTACCTAGACCATCTTTTTATTTCTTCATATCAAAATCAAAGATTTAAGTAGTTAACTTATTCGGTATTTGTTGTTGTTGTTTGATCTGTCGGGAGAGCAGGTTATGATCATCCTTGCTTTACATAAAATTAAGGAGCAGGAAGGTAAAATAATTTATTTAGAATCATACAATGAATTGGAATTAGAGCTTTAGGTTTTTTAACTCTCAGGCCAGAGCTCTCCATAATTGAATATTATATGTGTATATTATGGATAGATCAGATCTAAATATAGTTAAACTGTAAATCTTAAACCTAGGATCTAGACAGTTGTAAAGGAACCTTGCTTCTGTCTCCACCTTTTTACCTGACTTCAATTTGCATTTATCTGGAGACTTCAGCAGAAAGAAAAACACTTTATTTGTAGTAGTCAGTAGAGCTTTTTTTTTTTGGTCAATGTGAAAAAAGTGTGTCTTGGTTTGCATGTCTTGGTTTCTGTCTGATGTCATCCCTTGGAAAGGCTTTCCGTGATCATTTTACCTGAAATAGATTCACTCTTTTGTCATTTTTTTCTGTTACTTTGCTTTAATTTTTCTTCATAGCACTTAGCACAATCTGAAATGATACATTTAAAAGTGGACTTGTCTTTCACTAGGAACCAAAATGTGTGCCCATACTCAGTAGGCTGAAATCGGAAGATCAAGGTTCAAAGCCAGCCAGGGTAGGAAAGTCTGTTGTGAGACTTTTTAATCTCTAGTTAACTACCAGAAAACCAGAAGTGGTGTTGTGGCTCAAAGTGGTAGAGCGCTAGCCTTGAGTAAGAGAGCTCAGGGACAGTGCCTAGTCCCTGCCCTGTGTTCAAGCCCCATGACTGACAAAACAACAACAACAAAATATGCCCTTGCTGTCCCAAATTTGTATCTGTTCTGAGTAGGGCCCCTAATGGACTGCTCTCTCTGTTATAGGTAAGCTCTGTTCCCAGAGGCAGCTGCTGCTAACCCTGTAGCCCAGGAGGAAATAACTGGCAAAGCTCAGCCAGGCGAATCTGCCAGGCGAACTTGGTTTAAGATACAAAGTCACTGGTATGAGATCTTATTTTGTCCTTAGTACTGCTTAGTGGTGATTACTGTCTTATTCTGGGTCTAATGTCTTATTCTGGGTCTAAGAGATAAGATTTTGACGTAGATACTTTCTGATCTTGGAGGAGGGTTCAGATTACTTTCTTGAAATTGCCATGAGGGTGTTTGTAATCATATACCATAAGTAATGCAAAGCCGGCTTACTTCCTTGCTTCTGCCAGTGAGTTGCTTTTTCCTGGGAGGTGTCTTGAGTCCTGGCACCTATACTTACATACATCCTATAAGCTCCTTTAATATGACCTCACAGCCCTCAGACACTTTTCCTGTTTTTAGTCTCTACCCATGACCGGTATACCAAATCTCCTACATCAACTTCAGAAACTCATATTGTTTTCTCAGTACAACAGAATTTGGTCACTAATGATGGGGAGGATTGAATAAACATGTGAGCCAGCCTCATGACTCACTCCAATAACCCTAGCTACTTTAGGAGGTTCAGATTTGGAGAATGAGTCCAGCCCAAGCAGAAAAGTCTGCTAGATTCTATCTTCAAAATAATCAGCAAAAAACAGGGCTAGAGGCATTGCGCAAGTAGTAGAATGCAAGCTAAACAAGTGTGAGACCCTGAGTTGAAACCCCAGTTCTGCCACTGGTTGTTGAAGGCTCATGCCTATAATCTTAGCTACTTGGAAGGCTGAGGTCAGGAAGATTTCTGTTTGAGGTCAGCCTGAACAATCAAGTTCACCAGACTTTCTTCTCAACCAACAGTTGATTATAGTAGTGAGCTAAGAATGGGAAAATTATGATTTCAAGCCATCCAGATAGAAAGTCTGAAAGAAAATGAAAGTAGATGAACTCTTCTCATCCAGCTGTAGTGGGAAGTGAAAAGTTCCAGATACTCACCCAGCAAGGAGAGAGGCCCTATCTCAAAATAATCAGCATATAAATGGGCTGAAGGGTGACTTAGTAAGTAGAGTTCCTGACCAGCAAGTTCTAGGCCCTGGGTTCAAAAGCCCAGTACTTCCAAAAAACAACAATAAAAAGTTCATGGTTAGATTTATTAAAACTAGGCAAAAACTACTTTTAAATTAGCAAATTATATCATAATTTCATTGTGCTTTCCATACATACATTATTCGTTGATGAAAATTATTCACCCCTTCTTAACAAATGTTAATCAGTTTTATTCCATTTTCATAGATGTATATAAAATACTTTGATCATGTTCATTCCCCATTACCCTCTCCTTTTTCCCTTTCCCTTCTTCCTTCCCCTCTCTCCAAAAATGCTCCCTCAATTACATTCATGTCTTTTTAAAGTCTAGATTCAGCCTTTTTTTTTTTTTTTTTTGGCTGGTCCTGGGGCTCAGACTCTGGGCTTGGACATGGTCCCTAGGCTTCTTTTGCCCAAGGCTAGTGCTCTATCACCTGAGCCACAGCACCACCTCTGGCTTTTCCTGTGATTATTTGGAGTCTCCAGACTACCTGCCTGGGCTGGCCTGGAACCATAATCCTCAGATCATAATCCTCAGAGCCTCCTGAGTAGCTCACAATAGGGGTGAGCCACCAGTACCTGGCTTGATTCTTTTTTTAAGGTCAAGATTCTGCATATGAAGCTGGGCGCTGGTGGCTCACGCCTCTAATCCTAGCTACTCAGGAGGCTGAGATCTGAGGATCGAGGTTCAAAGCCAGCCCGGGCAGGAGAGACCGTGAGACTCCTATCTCCAATAAACCACCAGAAAACCAGAAGTGGCGCTGTAGCTCAAGTGGTAGAGCGCTCGCCTTGAGCTGAAGAGCTGAGGGACAGTGCCCAGGCCCAGAGTTCAAGCCCCACGACTGACAAAAAAAAAAAAAAAAAAAAAGATTCTGCATATGAGAGGAAACAATTTTGTCTTTTTTGTTTTGTTTAACATGATGATCAGCAAGCAGTTCCATTTATTTTTATTTTTATTTTTTGGTATCAGTCCTGGGACTTGAATTCAGATTGACATTTCATTTTTTATGGATGAATAATACTCCATTGTATATATATTCCACATTTTCTTTATCTGTTCATCAGTTGATAGACTTTTAGGCTGATTCCATAGATAGCTTGGCTATTATGAATGGTGCTGCTAACATGGATGGATAAGTATAGCTATTATATGGTGGTCATTTACATCCCTTTGGATATGCCAGGAATTGTATAGTTGGTTCATGTGGGTTCTATTTTAATTTTTTTGTTTGTTTTGTTTGTGCTGGTCCTGGGGCTTGAACTCAAGGTGTGGGTCTTATCCCTGAGCTTTTGTGTTCAAGGTTAGCATTCTACCACTTTAGCTATAGCTCCACTTCTAGCTTTCTGTGGTACGTTGGAGATAAGAGTCTCATAGACTTTACTGCCCAGGCTGGCTTTGAACCATGATCCTCAGTTTTAGCCTCCTGAATAACTAGAATTACAGGTATCAGCCACTAGTGCCTGGCTTTTCCATTGTTGAAAAACAGATGGTTGTAGCTGTGTGGGTTTTTTTTTTATTTAATTGATCTACATGTCTCTTTTTGTGCCTATACCATGCTGGACAAAACTACATTTTATGAATGATATTCAAGTTGAATGAGTTTGAGGCTCTAAGTTCAAATTCCAGTATGGCCAAAAAAGAAAATAAAGTGAAATAATTTGTAAAAGTTTCATGCCTAGGAATCTGAAAAGCTGATGTTAGAACTCAGGTCAGTTCTAAATGGCATTGTTCTTCCTGACTTTGTGGGCTTTCCTTTGGATGGAGTCATGGTTTTTCTTAGAAAATCAAGATTACTGGCCTTTTAGGGATTTAGTTATTTGAAAGGTCCAGCAGGTTAGGTCAGATAACTAGAGATTAACTGGTGGGTAGTCCTAGGGATATTGACTGTGGTAGAGAGAGAGAAGGGGAGGAGAAGGAAGAGGAGGGAAGGAGTGAGAAAGAGGGATCAGTCAGAATCCAAATTGGGATATCAGAAACAGTTTAGAAAAACAAGGTCCATTAGCAACTGCTAAAATTCTAAAGTGAGTAAGAGGTGAATGAAAGGAATGATGGGAAAGATGCAGAAGGTGGGAAGACCTATCCTAATAAAGATCTCATTAGCTCAAAGCAAAAATGGCTCCTTTGAGATTATGCATCTTGTATTACCTTCACCACCATCCCCTGTCATAAATTCAGTTAGGACATGAGACAAAAGACACTTGAAGGTATCACTGGTATTTTGGAATATTAATTAGTTGCAATCTCCCTCTCATTTAAGCTTGCTCAGCTTTTTTGCTCAAGGCTGGTTCTCTACCACTTGAACCACATATTCATTCCAGGTTTTTTTTTTGTTAATTAGAGATTTAAAAAAAACCCACCATATGGGGCTGGGAAGGTGGCTCAGTGGTGCTTGCCTTGCATGCATGAGGCCCTGGGTTTGATTCCTTAGCACCACATAAGCAGAAAAAGCCAGAAGTGTCGCTGGGGCTCAAGTGGTAGACTGCTAGCCTTGAACTGAAGAGTGGAGGGACAGCACCCAGTCCCAGAGTTCAGGCCCCACGACCGACAAAAAAAAACAAAAAATACCCCCCAAATACCCCACCATATGTTGGATAAAGGAAGTAGATGATCAAGATCTAGCCTTTGCTTTGGCATTTATTATGCAACCTCTGAGCTGTAGTTTCCTTATTTGTAAAATTAGTGTAATCCTACTTTATGATGTTAAAATGCTAATAGGTATTGAAAAAATACCTGGCTTACATCGTATTCAATTATCAGTGATTGGAATAAATTCTGAAACCTTGTCTTCAGTTACCAAGGAAAGCTTGGTATCAGACTCTGAACCTTATTCTATTAACTCAGCCTTGGGAAAGGAGTTTGTTCTTGTATCTTAGTTTACTCAGCTCTGAGATGAGAGAGCAAGATAGAAAGTTAATTTGTAATTGCTGATTTCTATCCCTTGTACTTCTGTGTCTTATTTTGAAAAGGAAAGAAAAAAATTGAAGATTGAGAAATGAAATCATCTACTCAGATTGAGCTTGACTAGAACCCTGCTCTTGTGTCTCATTCCACGGGTTTTTCCCTCTAGATTCAAGTAGAGATTGGAACTGAAAGCATGTCAGCTTTAAAGTCTCCACAAGAGCCTTCTCAAATCCCCTGTGGTATATGTCAGTAACATAGCCTATACTTGTTTTAGAAACAAGTGCTCCATAAATACTCCTGTTTTCTTTAGTTTGGTACAAGATCCAGATGCTCTTCAGTGAACACAATGGATTCTCTAAATCAGCCTGTTTCCATTCTGATCCACTCAGCTCTGATCTGCTGGCTGGGGTTTACTTGTCATATGAATCGCACTTTTTCTTTCTTGCTAATTTACCCATTTTCTCTTGAGTAACATTTAGTGTATTCCTACTATGTGTTGTGGGTACCTTAAATAGATTATCCTAATTTTTCTAGCTCATTAAGCTAGCATTTCCTGAAGATAAAGCTTAAGTGAAGTATATTAATTCAGAGGTCACATATCTAGTCTTAGGGCTTAAACTCAGGTCTTGCTGACCACATAGACTGAACTCTTTCCTGACTACTGTACTGTTTCTCTGGCCTCTTCCCTTTAAGGAAGTTAGAATGTTCAGAAGTCCCTAAGAAGGGACCTTTGGTGGTCTGAATATAATGGGAGTACTTTCCATGGCTTCAGTATATTTTCCCAAATTTCTGCTCCACTCTTCCTCAGACTTGCTCCAGAACTTAGTGGGACTAAACACCCAGAATTTATTTTTGACAAAGAAGAATTGGTTGCTGGTAAAAAGTGTACTTCTTTATTTTCAAAGTTGTATGATGATAATATGTCAAGCAACATGTCCCTATTTGTGGTACTACCTTTGAGTGCTGGAAAGGAAAAAAAAAAAAAAAGGATCTGTATATCTCAAACTTGATGAAGCTCTTCTAGGGACCAAGTGAGAGAAGAGACTTACATAAAAAAGATTTA